AAAACTAATAAAATTTTATAATAATAATAAAAAACGAACAAAAAAAGAATAGTGAAGGAATTTTTAACAAAAGTGTTTTAAAAATTATCTTTTTGTAGCATTGCATTTAGTAATACCATTAAACTTATTTTGAGATTTATATTGCATGAACAAAAATTGAGATGTCATCATACTGATGGAGAAAGGGTAACATTATGGAATTGTGTTAGCATGAATTCTGTGTCTCAAGTGAAACGATTGGTTAAGTTTTTGCAAATGTTGTAAACGAAAATTTTCAAATGAGGAATCAAAGACAAAAACCATGGTAATGAATAATAGGTACAAATAGCTGACACTCTTATCTAAAATTTGATAAGATGTTTTAACTCACTTTAATGAGTTGACAAGGTCTTCTGGAAAAAACCAGTTTCAGATGGCAAACATGTGCAAGGGATTTAGTCAAACAAGTTTTTGGCAAGCATAATATGAATTTTGTAATCCCTTGGGAGCCAATGAAATCCCAGTTATGTCTAGTTAATAATCTACAATCATTGGTTGGAGAGGTATATTAGTGCTAATTTCTCTCTATTCATTCTATCTTTTTTTCTTCTATCAACTCCCACAAGCCTTCGGCACAATGAAGTGGGTCACCTTTATTTCTCTTCTCTTTCTTTTCAGCTCTGCTTCTGCCAGGGGTCTGGTTCGCCGAGAAGTCCGTAAGAATTCCATTTTTTTATTACTCAACTTTCATTTTATTCTCTTAATAAAAGAAAATAAATTATTAGCCCATTTAGTATCTTTAAGGCATTAGAATTTTCTTTAACGTCTCTTTTTAGATTGGGATGCTATTTTTGCATTTATGAATCTGAAAAGTTCTTTTACATTTCTTTGATAGTCTTTTAAAAAAGAAAGTTCTTTTATATTTCTAACATTGTAGGTGAAAAAGTGATAAAGCTTATTTAATTGTTTAAGAATTGTCCTTTTCTTTTACACATGCAGAAGCTTTCAGCTTTTAAACTTAAAACTTTAGAGCACAGAATTGGAGATAGAAGGTATAACTCTAAATTCCCATTCTGTCCTACTTTGGAAAATAAAAATCTGTGTTGCTCATCTTATAAATAGAACTAGGGTTTATATGTACTTTTATTTCATACTGTTGCTTTAAAAAGACATTATGAAAGCATTAACACATATCCAAGCTTGAATATAAAATTATACAAAATTAATAGTTTTGCAAATAATGCCATTGCTTACTGACTGATTATTGGGTTTAAATTCAGAAGAAGTAGCTTATCATTATCCCAAGATTCTTCGTAGGTATCAGAGCTAAATCTTCCAGAGAAAATAGTTAACTTAAGTGGAAAAGAACAGGAAAAGACACATCATGATCACTTGTATTCTTCGTTGTATAAACCAATTATATGTGTGTTTCCTTTTTCTTCTCTAGACAAGAGTGAGATTGCACATCGGTACAATGATTTAGGAGAAGACGTTTTCAAAGGCCTGTAAGTGAATATGCCGAAAAGTCAAATGTAATGCTGTTAATAACAGAAACTATAATTTTGAGTATCTTATATATCTCTGTCTTCTAGGCCCATATCCAGTATAACTGTAATTGGCCCTAGGCAATTACTGAGCATTTTAAATTGAACATTTTCATGTTTTTATTGGCCATCTGGCCTTCTTTGGTGAAGCTTCTATGCATCTTTTTCTGCTCATGGATGAAATGTATTCTGAGATTCACTCAGAAACATAATTTAGATTTTATTTACTTTTAATTCATTTACATTTAAAGAAAAATATTGATACTCTATTGGAACAATGCAGCTTTGAAACTCATTGTAACGTTCAGAATGGAAAGGGTTTAATATCTAGCCTTCTGGAAGAAACTCAATTACTAAATCTTTTCTGCATCCTGTGGGTTTTGAGGGAGCATTGTAAGATTTGAAAAATTGAGTATGAATTGAGAAATTTAAAAGAATTTATCTGTTTTAAAAATTGAGTCTGACTAAATGAGGAATGTATATAAGTTTGTTTAATATTTCATATAATTAAAAAGGTCAGCTTCATCTTGATAATAAGACCTATTTAGGATACAAGTTTGCTTACTCTCAGTGTGTGCATGTACTAATGTGTGAAAACATTTAAATATGATGGAAAGACATATCCTCTTTGCCTAAAAAGTCACATATACTCAGATAATCTCTGATACAGACTCTGAGCAGAAAAATGAGAAAGAAGTATAAAACATGTACAGGTAGAAGTATTGAATACATACAGGTAGATTATTTGCCTTCTTACGTAGCAACCTGCTTTATATTGGAATTTTATTATGCTACAAATGTACTTTCCTTACTGTTTCAGAGTTCTTGTTGCCTTTGCTCAGTATCTCCAGAAGTGCCCATTTGAAGATCATGTCAAATTAGTGACCGAAGTGACAGACTTTGCAAAAGGATGTGCTCAAAATGAGGACGGTGAAAATTGTGGCAAATCAATTGTAAGTAAACTGATACTAAATAGTTTCTATTTTTAGTAATCCTGAGATTTTCCTAATAAAAACGAACTTTTTAGCTTTCTCATTTATCATAGGATAAATAGATTGAGTATATTAAGAAACATGCAAAAATGGGAAGATAAGTTATTGTTATATCTGATAGATTTTTTTTTACTTTGCCTATAAACATGTTTTTATTTTACATTTTTTTGGATTACTTTAAATGAGTGTTTACAGAGACTTAAGGTTTCCAGTCATTCACTGTTGCAATTTTCTCTCTGTCCCCTCCCCCAATTCACTCTTCCTGAAAAAGAAAAACACTTTCATTGTTATGCAATTCCCAAGTCCACTCCACTATGCAGCCTTCACTCTGAAATTCTGTAATAACAAGAATACCCATTCATATATCCCTTTTTTGGGGGGTTAGTGAAGATTGTATTACTCTTCAATTTTAAGTAATTCAAAACCAAATCCACTGCTATTAAGTTGATTCTGAGTCATAGTGACCCTGAAAAAAGTCTAGAAACCCCCTCAGAGAATTCCTAAGGATGTACGTCATCATGGATGTCAACTGTCACATTGTTCCATGATGAAGGGGATGATTGGTAAACCGTTGCCTATTTGTTAGCAACATTAAATCACTCTGCCACCATGATTCTTCAGGCTTGAATTTTGTTATTGGTGTGCACTGTTGAGTTGGAACCGACCCACAGCTGACCCTCCAGTGGGTTTCCAGAGGCAGTTAATTGCACAGGAGACTGCCCATCCTTCTCCTGCAGAGGAGCTGGTAGATTCAAATTGCCTGTCCTTTGGGATTGCAGGACAGCTTCTTGCCACTAGGCTGTCAGAGATATCAGGCTGTAAATCTAATCAGGAGGAGCCTGTCATCTTTCTCCTTTTGAGCTGCGGGTAGATTTGAACCAAGGGAGATACATGACCTTTTCAGTGCTCCTTATTGTTGCTATAGTTTAAGTAATTCTCTCTCTACTAGATAAATGTTTTTCAAACTGCAGTTTCAAAAGATTGTCTCATTTTTAAATGAAAAAAAAATTGAATGTGGAAAATTTATTCATACACATACAGCAAAGCTCTCTATATATTCAGTTATGACGTATTGGGTTGTAATATAACATGCACATTCCGTGTGAACTACAGTTAAAATTTTTACCTTTTTATTTTCTAAATACCTGTTACCCCTGTGAAGAGATTCAAAATCGTACTGTTGACTATTTTTTTAAATATATTAATATAAAAAATCTGAAAGTCAGGAATAGTGTATGTTGTTGTTGTTGTTATGTGCCGTCAAGTCGCTTGCAACTCATAGCTACCCTATGTACAACAGCCCTAAACTCCACTCTGTCCTGTGCCAATCACACCATCTCCAATACACCCATCCCAATTACCCCAGTCACTGAATCAATCCACCTCACAGAGGGTCTTCCCCTCCTGCGCTCTCCATCCACCCTCCCAAGCATGATGTCCCTCTCCAAGGACTGGTCCCTCCTTACAACATGTCCAAAGTATGTTAGACAGAGCCTCAGAATCCTTGCCTCCAAGGAAGTACCCGGCTTGACCCTTTCTGGGATGAATCTGTTTTCCTAGCAGTCCCTGGTACCCTCAATACTTACTCTTCTCTAGCACCACAGCTCAAAGGCATCAATTCTTCTATCCTCCTTAGTCATTGTTCAGCTCTCTGATGCTGGAATAGTGTATACGGATAAGTAGGAACACTGTCTGAATTTCTTTCTTCTTGACATGAATTTATTGCTACTTAAAAGTTTATTATCTTGAGTGTTTAATGTAATAATCTTAGTCTTTAGCCTATAGAAGTAATAATGTCTACCCACTCTTTTCTTATTCTCCCTACACCTCCAACTCCCCAAGTCGGTTCTATTTTATAGCAGCTGTGTTATGCGGTACTTGTCTTTTTGTGACTGAGATATTTTACTCAGCATAATGTCCTCCAGGATAGATAATGAATACTACATTGGAGCAGATGAGGGGAATATATGATCAGGTATTACATGTATGACAACAATCTGAAACAAGAGGTGCATTGCAAAGTGGACTAAGGGAGTGGGAAGGGAGAGGGAGGGAAGAAAGAATGCAACAATGAATGAGTAAAAATAGTAATGTAATAACAGTGTTACATTACTATAGAAATAATGTACTATAGAAATAACTTCTCACTGGTGTTAGTATTTCCCCATTAAGTTTCATCTATGACAAGCAATAATAGTGTGACAGGAGATTCTTTTGAAAATTACCCACATTATTCAAAACAGGGAATGAGAGTAGGAGACGAAGGTATGAATTATTTCTATGAGCTTTGTCAAAATTTTATACTGTATCTTCAGTATAAAATATAAAGTACTGCTTTATGTTTCTTTCATTTAGCATACTCTCTTTGGAGATAAATTATGTTCAATTGATTCACTTAAAGAAAAGTATGGTGAATTGGCTGACTGTTGTGGGAAACAAGAACCTGAGAGAAATGAATGTTTCCTAAAACACAAAGATGATAATCCAGGCCTCCCTCCAATTTCAAGACCATCTGCTGAGGTCATGTGTGCAGCATTTAAGGAAAACGAGAACAAATTTTTTGGACAGTAAGTAATCAGAAGTTCTTCAAAATGAAGTGTTATGATGAACCTACCAATCAATTCTCATTATGACCATTACCATAACAAGAATGTTAAATATAATGGTTTGGATGCTTAAGCTAACTTAAAAATAGTAGTTTTGTGTTTTGTAAGGTAATAATTTTTCAATGCTATGTAATATTCCATTTTGTGAATGTATCAAGCTACATTCCCTGAGTAATTTTATCAGTGTGTTAATTCAGTGTAGAGAATGGATTTGAGAGTTAAACGTTGTTTCTACTAACACTAAATTGATTTTCCTGAGTAGAATTCTTCTTAAAGTATTGAAGACAGAGAATAGGAGAAATACAAATATTACCTCTGTGTATTGATAGAAGTAAAACCACAAAATATGTTAAATACCATACTTGACAACTTTCAAAGATACTCTCAAGTTGTTTTATCAAGATGAGATTTTTAAAGAATTATACAACATTTTATTACATGAGTATTCATGAGCGGCTTTAAATTCTTCCCTCTTCAGTTTAATTACACAACTTTAAAAACTGTATATTTTTACATAGCTCTTCAAAATCTCACAAACTGCTTCTATGCTCAACCTAATATATTCTATTAATTTATCAAAGCAAATCCTGAGACAGGATGTGTACTGACACATAAGAAAATATAAGTATTGCCATATCAAAACATATTTGTGTTACAATTGGTCTAAAATTATTTTTCTTGATATTGTTGAACTTTGGGAATAAGTTGAAATACTTCAATAAATCAAATTGAAATATTTCTTCATTTTGTAAATTGGGTAATTGAGACCCATGAAGACATGCTTTCTGTAAACTAAGCATCTAGTTAGTATAGGATAAGAAGTTAGTAATAAAATAATGGTCACTCCCAATTCTCTTTTGCATCACACAATCAATCAAGAATAAAGACTAAAGATTAAATTAAAAAAATAGTAGTTTTTCAAATCTTGTGTGTAAAGGTTGTAGAATTTGGGAAGGGAGATCTAAAGATGGAGGTCTATCTCTCTAGGTTTTCACTGGTAATTACCATTTATTTCTTTCTGACTCACTCCATGGAATTTTCAAGGACGTGACCTTTTGGATGCTGATCACCATGTTTGTTTCCCAAGGAAAACAAAGTGGATGCATTCAAACCACTAACTTTACAGGCTGTGGCTGAGTGCTCAGCTTTTTGCATCAACTGTAATTTTTGTTACTAAAATTTTAACCACATTGTTGTGGATAATTATTCCTTTTCTTTGAATGAATGAATGACAAAGATAAAGTCAAAGTTGTCAGATACAAATTGTTCTTCATAAGGAAATTAAATATAATTGTCTGAAGTTTGGAGAACTAGGAGAGAATGTTGATGACAACGATTTCTGCAATACTATTTACTAAAAAAAAAAATTACTCCCTGCTTTTCTCTCTGAAATTTTAGGTACTTATATGAAGTTGCCAGAAGACACCCTTACTTTTATGCCCCAGAACTCCTTTACTTTGGCCAGAAGTATAAAGCAGCATTCACAGAGTGCTGCCAAGCTGAAGATAAAGATGCCTGCCTGACCCCAAAGGTATTGCCCAAAGGAAAAATCGAATGAGTTCATAACCAAGTCTGAGATTTTAGCCATCTTAGAGTTAGATTTAGACATACTGAACCTCTGTTATAAACTTTCTGGAAATGGTCAGAAGCTTTCCCCCCATTTATCCCCTTTTCTCCCTCAGAAAAGAACCTTTCACCCTTTTTGAAGAATGTTAACCAACTCTATGGCCTAGAGGCAAGGGGTTGCACTGCCAACCCAAGGGTACATGGAGTGAATTCACCATCTGATCCTCAGAAGAAAGACAGGCAGTCTTTTCCTGTGTGACTTACTGCCTCTGAAAATCCACTGGAGGGTCAGCGATGAGTTGGTTTCAACTTGACAGTACAAAAAAACTGCCTTTAAATTGCATCTATAGCACAAGAGAAGGACTGATTGAGATCTGTTGTTCACAGAGTTGCTATGAGTTGTAATTGACTCAATGGCACCTCACATCAATCACAATTATAACTGTCTTAATCCTTTTTCTAAGATTTGCTAGGTTGCTATGTAGAAAGAATGAGTATGTATGCATATAAATAGCGTATTGCTTTTCCTGGTGCTTATCTCTGTAATTAAAGTCCACCATAAATTTATGTCAAATTGCATAGGCAGGAATACAAGTTTTTATCTTTTCACTAGGATTTTTCTTGGAGATGGAAATTATAGTGGAGAAATGGACTGCAGCTAGAAGTCTGGGTTCGTTTTCTCATTCTACAAATGTTATTATGTGCTGTCAAGTCGCTTATGACTCCTAGCAACCCTATGTACAAAAGCTCTTAACCTTAGTCTATCCTAAGCTGATTTCATTGTCTCTGACACATCTACCCCCATTACCACAGTCATCTCATTGAGGGTCTTCTCTTTTATGCTGTCCCTCCATCCTACCAAGCATGAGGTCTGTTTCCAAGGACTGATCCCTCCTTTTAACATGCCCAAAGTATATCAGCTGGAGCTTCAGAATCCTTGCCTCCAAGGAGCAGTTTGGCTTTACCCTCTCCAGGATGAACCTGTTTGTTCTCCTAACAGTCCATGGTCTATTCAACACTCTTCTCCAGCACCACAGATCAAAGGCATCAATACTCCTATCATTCCTAGTCATTTTTTAGCTTTCTTGTGGATATTTATCACAAATCTTGTCTTTTATCCTCAGGATTTCCTTGATGTTAGTAATTTAATGAGGAAAGAATGAAAATCAGAAAAAAATAGGAAGTCAGCTTATTTACTTAGCTTACCCTGTTCTCACAGTTTTCTTTTCCCTTTCTTTGGCAATGGCTTCATGCCACTCCTCAAATTCCTAGAAGCTTCCAGTATGGTCAAGATTGAGTTTCTTTTCTTGCTACATTGTAGAATAAATAGCTACAAAGAGTGAGTCCTTGGGTATTTAGGTAGAAATTAATTCTTTAAAATTTGGCATCATTTCATCACAGTTTGTGGAGAGATGTTTCATAAAATTTTACTTGTCTAATTTTTACAAAATAATTTATTTTTTCAGCTTGATGCTATGAAAGAAAAGGGGATGAAATCATCTGCCCAACAGAGGCTAAAGTGTGCCAATATCCAGAAGTTTGGAGAGAGAGCTTTCAAAGCATGGTAAGCTTTCAACTTAGTTTGCATCTTTAAGAATGATGAAAAGAATGACATTGACAAAATTATTAATTTTTAAAACTTTCACAGTGGTCTCTGATATATACTTTTGGTTGTCTAATAGGTAGAAATTCAGTACAGATAGAAGTCTAAATATGAATACCAATTTCTTCTAATTTTTATTTGTTGTATTTTTTCTAAGTAATCAAAGAATTTAGAGGACATTGTGCATGTTTTTCTTTACAAATAAAGCATTGTTTTGAGTTCTTGTTTTAGAAATAAAATGAAGAGCTGAGGACCTTATTCTAATGATCCATTAATTTTATCATGGTATAGTCTGGTGATTTTGTTTTGTTTTGGGTTTTTATTATAAAAAACCCCTTCCCCCCAGCAATCTCTCTGTTCTTTTTGGGGTCTTGATAATTGACTAAGTCAAGGTTACTTCTTATTAACTTTATTTTGCTCTTAATAACTTAATTTTGATGTGTTCTCTGTCTTACTATTATTCATCTAATTCTGGTAGATCTTTGAATATCAATCTTTGAACATCAAGAAAATATTAACACTCCTAATGTATTAGACAGCCAATTGAACACTCTTTGTCTATTACACTTATCATGCTCACCAATAAACTTGACCAAATTAACAAATAAATCAGAAAACGTACAGTTAAACTGACTGTGATTGATTTGGAAGTCACTTTTATCTGAATTAGGCCACCCTTTTAAAAATTGTTTGAAAATACTTTGGACATGTTGTAAGGAGAGACCGGTCCTTGGAGAAGGAAATCATGCTTGGGAGGGTGGAGGGACAGTGCAGGAGGGCAAGGCCCTCTATGAGGTGGATTAATTCAGTGACTGGCATAATCGGGATGGGTGTATCGGAGACAATGAGATTGGCACAGGACAGAGCAGATTTTAGGGTTGTTGTACATAGGGTCGCTATGAGTCACAAGCGATTCTATGGCATATAACATCAACAACAATTAAACTTTTGTTATAGAGCTTAGAGACTCTGACAAATCGTTTTTTTTCTGTGTTTTGTTTTGCAAAACACTATATCTTTTTCTTCTTTTATTACTTTACATTATTTAATTTAAAGCCCTTTTTATTATTCTCCAAATCTGTGCAATTGGTGATAATTTTCTCCTTAGGGACCCTTAGAAGATCTTAGTTGACTTAAGAGAATCTTTGGTTTTGTTAGTATAGTACTTCCCAGCTTGCAGAACGCTGCTATGAATGATCTGATTCTCACAGCAATCTTGTTGTGACTCCAGAGACTGATTCTTAGAGGAGTCAGGTAACTTGGTCACACTGTTAATACATGAGCATGTCAGATATACAAATTAGATCTGGACTGCAAACCAGATACCTGACAATGTGTTGACTCTTTGGGAATTTTTCATTTCTATTTCTATGTATTTTTCTTGAATACCTTATGAAACAATCCTGCTTTGCAAACCAAAGCGACTTGCAACTCACAACTTAGTCTAATAATAAACTGAAAACTCCCAGCTACTGGACACTCTTTGCCATTGAATAATTCTGCCTTCAGGAGACACGGTAATTTGGTAAAGAACTAGCATTAGTATAAGATGTAAGGAATTTTAATTACAAGTTACTTGCCTTCCATTTCTCCATTATTTGTATTTTTTCTTTATGTTTTTCACATAAAACATTGAATGCTAATTTTTTTTTTATGGGGGGATTTTGTTTTTAGGGCTGTAGCTCGTATGAGCCAGAAATTTCCCAAAGCTGAGTTCGCAGAAGTTTCTAAGTTAGTGACAGATCTGACCAAAATCCACGTGGAATGCTGCCATGGTGACCTGCTTGAATGTGCAGATGACAGGGTAAAGAATTATCAGTAAACTCTTTGATAGTTTAATACTTACACTGGTAGAGGGAATCCATTTAGGATCAAGGGGGCAACTGGCTATGGATTGAGACTGTGTTCTGCAAGCCCCTCTGCTTTAGCCATCTATAAGCTTTCCTTGAATTGGGACATTAATTTTTTAAAACCTATTATGTTCTATTGAATCTATTCTACCTCTTAGTAACTTTATAGGAAAGAGTAGTATTGTCTCATACAGACATAGAACTTTACAAGGCTGTAAATCTTTATCGAAGCCAACTGCCATATCTTCTGCTCCCTCCAGAGCAGTTGGTGGATTGGAATCACTGATTTTTTAGTTAGCAGACAAATATTTAACCACTGTACCCAGGGCTTATTTTTAAATTTTTTTAAATCTAGTTATCTTCTTTAGTCCCTCTCACTCCACTAGTTGGTTTTCAGTAGGAATAAAACAACTCCTAGCTGACCTAGCAGGTGATTTTCCAATACTGTGAATTGTTTGGGAGGGGATCTCTCATCTTTCTCCCATTGAGCCACTGGTGATGAAGACAGTTAAAATAGACTTAGCTGCTGACCAAATGGTTGGAGATCTGAGTCTGCCCAAAGAGACCTTGGGAGAAAGGGCAGGTGATCTACTTCTGAAAAACCAATCAATCACTAAAAACCTTACAGAGCATGTTGTTACGTACTACTGAGTCAGAATGACTCATAGCTGACCCTCCAGTGGGTTTTCAGAGGCTGTAACCCACACGGGAGAAAAATGTCCATCTTCCTCCCATTTGGAGTAGCTGGTAGATTCAAACCACATGCATTTAGATTGGCAGTGCGGCTCCTTAGCATTAAGCCATCATTAAGTTCCCTATCCTCTATAGTTCTACTCTCAGGGAATTGTCATGAGACACTTGTCATTGGCAACTGGTATTTTATCCTATTCAGTAAATGACCTGACCAACTCTTTTACTGATCTCTGTTCCCTTTAGGTCAAATTTCAGCTGAGATGAAAAAGTATTAAATTGAAAGGGACGGCTATAGGACTTATAAATGGGATTGGAGAAAGATGGGTATCTAAAGAGATCTTTACAAATGAGATGTGTTTATGTGTGAGGTTGTTATTGTTGTCGTTGTTAAGATCTTTAGAAGTGAGATACATTTATATGCATGTATGTGTGTCCTTCTTGTTAAGTGCTGTCGAGTCATGACAGGTTTGTAGCTGAGCCTCCAGTGGGTTTTTAGAGGTTGTAAATCAAACAGGAAGAGATTGCCCATCTTTTTCCCCACAGAGTAGCTGGTGGATTTGAACTGCGTTTCATTAGATTGGGCAGCACCACTCCTTATCACTAGGGCTCTAGAGCTCTTTATGTATGTAAGTAGATACAGAAGCTTATGGTATCTTTCTCCTGCAGAGCAGCTGTTGAATTCAAAGCAGCTGGGAGTTTTAACCACTGTGCCACTAGGGTCTGAAGAGAATATTTGGCAACGTCAACTTGTATTTAACAGTTTTCATCAATTTACTTATAGGCAGATCTGGCCAAGTATATTTGTGACAATCAAGACTCAATCTCTACTAAAGTGAAGGATTGCTGTGATAAGTCTGTGCTTGAAAAATCCCACTGCATTGCGGAGGTCGATCATGACGATTTGCCTACTGACCTGACCCCGATTGAGCACGATTTTGTTGAGGACAAGGAGGTGTGCAAGAACTATGCTGAGGCAAAAGATGTCTTCCTGGGCACGTAAGTGGATAAGGAATCGCCTTTCCTACTTTTTGTGTGGCCTCACATTTTAGGAAGACCTACCAAGTTTTCCTTGAGGGTTGCTTCAATTTTCATGTTCTTCTTGATGATTCTTCATCTTTATCCAGACCCAGACTTCAAAATTATTTTTAAACATTTATCATAGCTTAAAACTTACTCTAAAATAATGTGTGTTCACAACAAAAATGAAACCAACCTAGTTTCCACATTTTGGGGCCATATATCAGGAGCAACACATTAGATTAATCCTACTGGCTAAACTAAGCAGGTCTAATATATTGAAAAAAGAATTTTCAAGGTAAAAAAATTTCCCACATTTTATACTTCTTAAGTGTTCCTTATTCCTTAAGGATAACACATACGTCATATTATATAATAATAGGAATTATTATCCATATTTTACAGAAGAAAAAATAAGACTCCAATAGTTTAATCCATTTACGCAGCAAAGTACCAGACAGAGGCATGTGATGAACCCAGCCAACTCTGCTTGTGGATTCTCAGCCTCATAAGCACGACCATTGCTGCATAAGGTTTAGTCAAATTTAGACCTTTGGTAGATAACATTGCTGTTAAGTGCAGTCAAGTCGAATATGACTCATTCTGACCCTATGAACAACAACTCGGAGAGCTGACAATGAATTGGAAAATGAGTTGTCATCAAAGTTAGTTCCATGACTTATCTTGCTTATTTATCCAACTATTTTATTTTCACCCAAATTAGGTTTTTATATGAATATTCAAGGAGGCATCCCGAGTACTCTACCTTTTTGTTGTTGAGAATTGCCAAGGCGTATGAAGCCACACTAGAGAAGTGCTGTGCGTCTGCTGATCCTCCTGCATGCTATGGCAAAGTGGTAGGTGTCCTTCAGGGAAAACATAGGACTCCTGAACTGATCATTCCAATAATAAGAAAAAGAATTCAAGAATGGAAAGTGTTTAATTGATAATAGGGACTATTATATATATATTCTTAGCCATTGAGATGGTTTTCCAATTTTCTACTCCTACGTATTACAGAAAATAAAGACCTGAAAGAAAATTGTTAATAACATCTAGAATGGTTAGCCTAGAAAAGAAAGTTTTAAAAACAAGAATCTCCAAAAACATAAAATACTAGCTTTAGTTCTTTTTGTCCTTGCAAAAACACAAAATAAATTTAAGGCCTAATTAAAATAAATTTAACTCACATGCAAAGAAAATGTCTCTGGTTCTGAAAGTGATCAAGTTCTGATGTTAGTATGAATCATAAGGGAAATTGGAGAATATATTCCTTTAGAAAGATTTCAAATCTTTTTAAGATGGTTTGGCTATGTTTTTCTCAGAAATTATATGAGGAGAGTAAACCAAGTCTGAAGGATTTTTAGGTCCTCACATCAATGCTTCCCAAACTATTCTAAATCAGAATAAAGGATTTCTAGCCTTCATGAAGAATAGTTGCATTCTAGCACTGAGATCCAAGGTCAAATCTCTCCTCGCAGAGTCCTTAGGGTCTAACTGCAGAGATGGTCTAATAATAGCGGTACTTAGGCTAAAAGCCATCAGTTACTGAGCTTATATCTGCTGCCAAACCAACACAATAGTAAAAACAACAACAAACCCATTGATGTTAATTGGTGTCAACTCCTAGTGAACTTATAGGAAAGAGTTGAACTGCCCACACAAGCTTTCCAAGGTTATAATCTTTAAGGTAAGAGTTGCCACATCTTTCTTCAGCAGAGTGAGTAGTGGATTGGAATGGTGTCTTTCAATTTGCATGTAAGTGCTTAAACATTCCACCACCAGGGCTCTTTTCTTACGTACCAGGCCCTGTTTTATTTTATTGGCTGAGTTAGTTCATGGTAGAATTATGTGAGGTTACTACTATCGCTATGCCTTTTTTGGTATGGGAGGATTCTGAAGCTTGTTGTGGTGGTGGTGGTTGCCCAGTTGAAACCTATTTATAGACGACTCTTCAGCAGATTTTCAGAGGCAGTTAATTATGTGGGAGGAGATTTCCCAACCTGAGATGGTACATTTCACAACTAGAAAATGGCTCAGGCAGTCTGGCTCAATAGGTGAATTCCAGAACTTGAGTAGTATTCATATGCACTTAACCTCTACAGTCTCAGCAATTAAGATGAAAATATCAAATGTACCATGACAACTTTGGCATCAGAGTTCTATTTAAGGTGGCTTTGGGTAGAAAAGAGAGAGGATCTCATCGTGTTTAAATTAATGGAAAGAGACCTGTAGCCTGTCCTCAGATGTAAACACAATTATTTTTTCAATCTTTAAGCTTGAAGAACTTAAACCCCTTGTTGACGAGCCTCAGAAATTAGTTGCTGAAAACTGTGCACTTTTTGAACAACATGGAGAGTATGGCTTTCAGAATATGTAAGTAATTTTATATTTTGTTAATTTCTTATCAGTTCATAATTATTAAATGATTTTAAAATTAATTACCATTTAATCCTTTTTTATCACCTTGTAATTAGCCTGTGGAGCCATAGGTCCCTGGGTTGCACAAATAATTTACATTTGTTTACTAAACTGATGGCTGTTGGTTCAAATCTGCCTCTTAACCACGGCAGCATGAAGGCCTTGTAGTTTGCCTCCACAAAGATTACCGCCAAAAAATCCCATGTAGAAGTTTTCCTTCCCCCCCATTTTTATTAATTTTAATAAACATTTACAGAGATTTTGGATTTCCATTCATTCATTGCTACACTTTTCTCCCTGCCCAACACAAAGGGTTGCCTTGCATCAGAATTGACTTAAGGACAATGAGTTTGGTAATTTAAAAAATATACAATACTTAATCATAGCAATCTTACCTTAAATGCAGCATATAGATTCCTAATTATAGTCTATCAAGAATGGAGAAGTCAAGATGACATAGTCGGTGGAATGGAGAGATTTGAATTATAATAAAGGCAACATATAGTTTACAGACCAATACGTGAATCTTACAGGAAGAAAGTTCTAGGAGTTGAATAACAGTGGTTTGGATTAGTGAAACAAAGGTGGCAAAGTGAATTTAAATATGTGAAAATTTATTCATTCTTATTAATACTTAACTATGAATTTAAATAGATGACTATCAGATTCATATTGATATAACTGAGAAAAAGATCAGATGATTTGGAAGATACACTTAACCTTGACAATAACAAATTTATTTTCATGTGGAACTCCTCTTTAAAGCACTGTCAGAGGCAGAATGGCCTGATGTCTCAATCTAATAATGTCTCATTTATGGTGTTAAATGCAAGAATGGACATTGTGTAGTATAGTATATACACTGTAGCATTCTGGGTGCTAGCCAGTACAGCCGTGAAAAAAGAAATAATAGGGTCTGCCTTCATAGATTTCTGTACTACATTACCATATTATATTTCATTGGTGCTGGAGATACTTTATAAATAACTACTACTTGTGAGATGTCTTTGTAGGCTACTAGCATACAGGTTAGGTGCTGTTGAGCTAGCTCTGGCTGATACCCACCCTGGTTACTTACAACAGAATGAAACTCTGAGCCCTCCTCACAATCTCCACCTGAGCTTAGATTCGGTGTTGCAGTCTCTATGCCCATCTCTTTTGCACACTATCTTTTAAGCATGTTCAAGAGCACATTTCTTTTTAATGTAATCCTTTTTGAGTCTGGTATATTTTCTCCCATTTCACAGACAAGAAGATTCATTCACGTAATTCAGGTTTGAAAGGGATCTCTGGTGACGTAGTAGGGAGGGAGTTTCTCTGCCAACTCAAAGGCAGTAGTTTATAAAACTCCAACATTTCCTCAGAAGAAAGATGGGCAATCTCCTCCTGTATAATTCACAGCTTCTGAAAACCCATTGGTGGGTCAGCTATGAGCTGTTTAACAGAACGTTAATATCTATTGTTGTTAAGTGCTGTCGAGTTGTAGATGACTTATAGTGACCCTATGAACGAAAGAACTGAAAACTTGTAGAGCTTTCATCGTTTCTCCAAGTTCATAGGGTTTCTGGAGGAGGCAAGCTATTTTGGAAGTGGATGCTTCCTGCTTTCATGCTTGTTTTAATCGGGTAACTCTACCAAACACTGTTCACCATGGATAACCGTTAACGCATTTAACACATCAGTGTCACAGTGTTCAGCATCAACATGCTACTTAGAAGAATGTTTGACCAGAAATAATTAAAACCAGGCCTGATGGCCACAGATAAAAATCACCCACCTTTGGCTTGGTAGCATCACTTTCTGTCTTGGATAATTATTTATGAAAGGAAATCTATGAATGCCACTGACTTATGATAAAGTAAATACTTTTTCAAAGGTTATACAACACAGAATTTGGAGCTAGATATCCCTACAAATGCCATTCAATCACACAGGGTTGGAAGAAAAGTTTATCATTGGAAACCAAAATATTCTTAGTTGATTTTGGATAAGTGTAGTCTGTTTGGTCTCCCATGCTATTAAAAACAGATTTTTTTTTTTGGTGTGGTCATTGTTTGGCCTGGCTGAAAACCAGTGACTTTTTATTACAGGCTCTTAGTTCGTTACACCAGGAAAGTCCCACAAGTATCAACTCCAACTCTTGTGGAGGTTGCAAGAAATCTAGGAAAAGTGGGAACCAAATGCTGCAAAAAGGATGATGCCCACAAAATGTCCTGTGCTGAAGATTATGTGAGTCTTTAAAAGTTTAATCAATATAATAGTGATGAAATTTTGCTTTTTTGATACTGTCAGAGCTAACTTCAAAAGAGATGTGTACTAAAATGTGTGTGTGTGTGTGTGTGTGTGTGTAAATGGTTGTAGTGACAGCAGCAGGGTTTTACTTCACAGTCTATGTTATCCTGATTACCCAAGTGATGATTTAGATAAGATTCCAAAGATACATTGTTTTTGAAAAAGACTTTATAATTTACAATTCTTAGCAATAATCACATCCTGGCATTTTTCTCTATTTGCACTTTCTTTGGGATCTCTTCTTTAAGGCATCAGTATAAGACTATATTCTCCCCACTCCATCCACATTTCAGGACATCACTTCAAATGATTTCTTCATCAACTATTTTATCAAGTGTATTATTGTTGACATATGAACATAATAAAATCATGTTTCATAGTCTTTAGTTTACAATCCTGAAGATGTTTAAACCACTGTTTCAGATTAATTTTACATTCTAGTGCTTGGGAGCTCTGGTGGCCTAGTGGTAAAATGCTGTATTGCAACCCCTAAGTCATGTCCAAATTCAACAGCTGCTCGATAGGAGGCTGGGCAATCTCCTCGCATGCAACTCATAGGCTCTGGAAACCCACTGAAGGGTTAACTATCAGTTGGTTCTGACTAAGGCAAATAACAAAACCAACCACAGTTAAAACATAGGGGGCTGTGGTGACCTTGTTATTATTGTTGCTGTGTGCCAACGAGATGAATCTACCCATAGCTAACCCTCCAGTGGGTTTTCAGAGGCAGTAAACAGCATAGGAACATCTTTCTCCATGAAGCATCAAATTTATTTCAATTATGTGCACCTAGGGTGGCACCAAATTATCACTGGAGCAATGTGTGTTATTGACCCAATGGCCGTATCTCTGTGGTTGTTCAAATCCATCAGTGACTCCTAGCTATGAGTCTATTCCATATGGAAGGCAATGGATTTTGAGTGGGTTAAAAGATAACATTTCTTTTGGCTTAATGGATGGTAGCCATGTATGAAAATATTTCCAGTGTGCTTCTTTTGAACTCTTGTTTTCTTGCTGTCTCATAGCTCTCTCTGGTTCTGAACCGGCTCTGCGTGCTCCATGAAAAGACACCAGTGAGTGAAAGGGTCACCAAATGCTGCACAGAGTCCTTGGTGAACAGGCGGCCATGCTTCTCTGCTCTAGAAGTTGATGAAACATATGTCCCCAAAGACTTCAGTGCAGAAACATTCACTTTCCATGCTGATTTGTGCACTCTTCCAGAGGACCAGAAACAAATCAAGAAACAAACGTGAGGATTCTTTCATTATTGCATGCTTCTGTAGTTCTGAGAGTACTCTGATCATGGCTACAAGTTTAACAGTAACCTTACAAAGTCCATCATACTCAACTGTCTCTGGTGTTCATGTTTTTGTAGATGTCAAGCATAGAACTCCACCAGCTCTCATAAGTTTTTAAAATAATTTCTTTTTAAAAGTTGTGATTGTTGAGACTAAGCACTGGCAGATAACTGCAAATTCCTTACTCTCCACATACTCATTGCCATGACATTTATTTTACATTTTTCTGAATTGTATAATCGTTCTCGTTCTCCTTCTCTGAATTGTTCCACTTCCACTAACATAAACTCACTGTGGCCTAAGGTTCATACCTAGCCCTTCAAATGACTGCTGTCAATTTAATCTCATACAGCTAGCTATCAAGAACATAATGCTAGAGAGGCAGACATTTTTTCCTAGTTAAGCTAAACTATTGTTTATTTTAAAAAGATTTAAGGGCATATTTTGTGGTTAAGGTATTTATGGTCTCAAGCCAATGGTACTGGTAGTTCACCAACTTTGATAGACTTATTATTTCATATAATCTTCTCAATGTTACATCTCAACTACGTCAAATTTCAAATGCAAATGTAAAAGTTCTTAGCTGAACAGCTTTGAATGAGACACAAAATAATTACATTTTTAAAGGATCATTTTTTGCTCTTATAAAACCATGAAATTCAATAGAATGTATCTTACAGAATCTGAATCATGCGTAATTGCAAATGTGTAATCCTATAAAGATCTTTATATGAAAGTAAGCCTTTAATCTTGTTATGTATTTGACACATAATATTGAGCAATTTTCTTCAATAATCTCATTTAATCCAACCAACAATCCTATGAAGAAATACTTTCTTATTCTCACTGTACAGAGGGGAATGTTGGCAGGTAAAAAGGTACAGTTGGGCCACTAAGTCAGAGTCACCTGGCTCTTAAAATCTTTTCTTTTTTATTTTATTAATTTAGTTTGTTTATTTTTCATTTCAATGAACATCTACAGAGATTTTGGAATTCCAATCATTCATTGTTGCACCCTTCTCCCCGCACAA